TGTGTGTGTGTGTGTGTGCCTCCTTTGATTTTCTTGTATCACTCTCATTTCTCTTCCCAATTTTTCCTCCACCTCTTACTTGATTTTTAAAATCCTTTTTGAGCTTTTTCATTGCATGAGACCAATTCATATTTTTCTTTGAGGCTTTGGATGCAGGAATTTTGACTTTGTTGTCTTCCTTGTCTCCATAGTAACTTTCTATGGTCAGAATATTTTTCTGTTGCTTGCTCATTTTCCAGCCTATTTCTTGACTTTTAACTCTATGCTAAACTCTGCTTCCCAAGTGGAGGGGGCACTGTCCCAAACTTTAGGTTTTTTGTGCAGCTGTTTTTGGAGGCAATTATGGGGACCTGTGAGTTTTTGACTCTTCCAAGGTGGTATGATCTATGGAGATGTGTATTTATTACTCTCATGTACTATGCACTGGTTTGTGAGTGATCACAAGCATTCTTTTCAAACCTGGAACTGTGACCAGGGTACCAGCTCCCATGTGAGTGTAAGCTGTGCTGTGCCAGTGATCCTCCTCAAATTGGGACTAAGACCCAGGACTTCGACCCAGATCCAGGTATAGGCAATGCAACAGAGTCTTGCCCCTGGTGCCAGCAAAGGGACCCCTGTAAATTTCCTTCTGACCCATTGTCCAATACCCTTACTGTCTGTGGGCTGAGAGGTCTGGAAACCACACTACTGCCATTGAGTCACTTGCCCCAAGGTCTGCTCCTGGTTTGCTGGGGCCTGGTCTGCACTGGCACTGGTGCTGGTATGGCCTGAGTTGGACTGAGCTCCACTCTCATCCTGGTGCAACAGACCTTTCCTGCTGATCTTCTAAGCTGTCATGGGCTGGAAAATTGTTTCACACCACCTTTTTGTGTGTTCTAATGCTCTAGAAATTGTTTAGAGTCATTATTTAAGGGTATTTGGAGGGGTTTGGAGGAGAGCTCAGGCGAGTCCCTGCCTTTTCTCTACCATCTTGGCTCTGCCTCTCCCTCAAATTGGTTTTTGATAAGTTTTTATTTCTAGGTTATATATCCATTTGGAGCTTATTCTGGTGTATAGTGTGAGGTGTTGTTTATACAATCATTTGGATAAGAGCACATTTTTTTTTGTCTTAAAATGTGCTCAGAACATTTTCTGATCATGGAAGCAAATAGTTCCTAATTTATTTAGTCAACATTTGAACCAAATTGTTGGTAAAGAAGACCCAGTGCATATGAATGTATATCTCTATATATGAGTATGATTATAGATATCTAAGTATATGTATGTGTAAATAAGTATATGTATGTATGTAATTGTATGTGTCTGAATATGTATATATGTATATCTTTGTGTGTATTGTGTATATATGTATGTATGTATATGTACATATGTATATGTATGTGTATATATATATATGTATATATATATCCTTGCTTAATTGTAGACTTGGGTGGGGAGGAAGGGGGAAAAAAGAATAAAGTAAAAAGAGCAGAGCAGAGAACAATAGAAAATTTACAAGGAAGAAAAGAAAAATTGGACAGCTCTCAACACATAGTATTTTTTATGTAGGCTTTCTTGAAATGGAAATTTATTGCTGTATATTTTGAATCCTCTCTCATGTTCTGCTATGCACATGGCAATGCTTTTTTCTTTTCTTATTTTGTATTATTTTAGTGTTAGTATTGAAGTTTGTTTCTTTTTTCTTTTCTTATTTTCTATTTAAGTTTAAAATTTTTAAAAATTACCAAAGAAGAAGAAGAAGAAGAAGAAGACCCAGGACACTGCCTTAAGGAACATTGTGAAACAGAATCCTTGAAGGTGATTGGTGAGCCACTATCAGTCACATTTGAAGTATTATGTAGAATAGGGGAAGTTTCATAGGTCTTGAAAAGGGCATATGTTGTCCTGCTTCCCAAAAGATGGAAGAGAATGAAACTTCCAAACTATAGAGTGTTAACTTGACTTCAATTTCTGGTAAAATTATGGAACATACTATAAATGGGATGGTTAGTGAACATCAGTCAGTCCACAAACTTTTATTAGGTACCTGCTGTGTGCCAGGCACCATGCTGGGAACTGGGGAAGCAAACAAAAATGAGACAGTACCTGACCTTATGGAGCTTACATTCTACAGAGATGACATGCACATAAATCAATGCATATAAGCTATGTGATATAAATACATGGTGATTTTTGGAGGGAGGAGAGAGGCATTGGGGGGATCAGGAAAGGCTTTAGGTAGGTGATGCATGAGTTTTGAAGGAAATGAAGAGGAAACGTCCAAGGAACACGAGGGTCAGTCAGTGAATGCAAAGGTAGAGAAGAGGGAAATAGAAAACCACATGTGAGGAAGAGAAAAACCATTTTGGCTAGAAGAGAGAGTTGGGGAAGGTGGAGTAATGTAGAAGGTTAGGAAGGTAGGTTGGCAGCCAATGTGTGAAGAGCTTTCAGAGCCACACAGTGGAATTTCTGTTTATCATAGAGACAACAGGGAGCCACTGGAATGTATTGAGTAGGGGAGTAATGATCATCTGCATTTAGGAAAATTACCTTGGCATTAGAAGAGGAAGTAATGAATAAACACAGCTTAATCAAGAGCAGGTCATGGCAACCAAAACCAACTTTGCCATGTTGTAGTTGGTCTCTTTTGGAGGTGGGCCTTAAACTCTGGTCTCCCTGACTCTAAGGTCAGCTCTCTACCCAATATGCTGTATTGCCTCTTAATTTCTATTTTATTAACTTGTAGAAATGAAATAAAATGATTTTTGAGGTTGTATAAACTCATACAGATGAGGTTGTTATAAAATCTCTCTGGTATCAATTGAAAGTAGCATTATTTTAGGAAACATACATGAATAATTTAGCAAAAAGGTAGAGGTATGAACAAACGGTTCAGTGTCTACTAGCTAGTGGCTATGAGATTCCCAAGTCACTTAACATCTCAGAGCCCCAGGGATTCTCCAGAACTCCAAATTGCAGGGCAGGTGCTGATCTGCATCAGAAGAAATTTCTTTATTGGGAGTTTACTACATCTGTAAAAATCACAGGTACGGTTAGAAAAATTTAGTTCTCCAAAAAATGTGTCCTGCTAATGATCAAGGGGCTTTACTGGGAGGGAGCCAAATGATATGATTGGTTCTTCTTATTTTGATTTGATGGGGTAGGGAGACTGGAGGTCTAGGGAGTTTTGCTAGCTCTACAGTTGTCCTTGATAAATCCAAACTACCATTCCTTCTTCCTTCAATCACTCCCTTCTCCAAGGACTTCCAGGAACTCATTCCCAGGCCATCATAGGACATTCTCTTCCTTCCCCACCACAGGCAGCAGGGTACAGTGGAAAGAGCCCTGGTTCTGGAATCGAAAGATCTGTGATCTAATTTTGGCTGCTTTTTGGGGGGGGGGGGCAATTGGGTTTAAGTGACTTGCTCAGGGTCACACAGCTGGTGTCTGAGGTTGGATTTGAACTCAGGTTCATCCTGACTCCAGGGTCAGCGCTCTATTCACTGTGCCACCTAGCTGCCTCTCGGCTGTGCTTCTTACCATGGGATTTGGTCAGGTCCCTTTCTCTCTGTGGGCCTCAGTTTCCTTCTTTGTAAAATGAAGGTGTCGGATTTTCTGGGGTCCCTAGCAGATCTAGATTTCTGCTCTAAGATTACAAGAAATACCCTGGCTCCCTCCGAAATATTGGTCATGCCTTCCTCGGTTTAGGGAGTGAAAGTCATGCATTTATTTCTTCACACTAGGGCTAGGGCTCTGGGGATTTACATGCAGAGCATCAGCAGCTGTGTTAATGTTTACAAATATCATCATACAGTGCCAAGATTTTATGCCACTTTGCAAAAGGAAAAGAGGAGCGCGGGCAAAACTTTGCCTGCAGCAGGGGCAGGAATATTTGAGATTTCCAGTGGGAAGAGGTTATTGGCCCAGGGTCTGTCTAGGGGGCGGGATTTGTCCTCTGCCTCCACGGAAGACCAATCCAGCGGCTGCGCTAAGGCGGGGCGCAGAGAGGGCGGGGCGAGGAGCGGGAGAGAGAGGCTATTGGACGAGATTGGTTACTAGAAGGAGCTGGCGGGCGGTTGGCTGAGAGACTGGGGTGGATGAGGAGAGTGGGAAAGAGGCGCGCGCTTGCGCGGTGAGGGTGGAAGGTGAGCGCCAGGGGGCAGGGGGGCGTGGCCTTCAGGCGTTAGCGGTGGTACTCCCGCCGCTGCTCTGCTCGCCGGGGCTGCTGCTGCCGCTGCCACCGC